GTGCTAAAATGCCTAGTAGGTTCGTATTAAAAAAAACAACTGTCAAGCGTGAAAGTATTATGGCAGAATTTCTCAAGAAGCTTGTAAGCTCCAGCTGTTGAAATAAAAAAAAAACCCTAAAGGAATCCTTACGTAGTTGAGGAAGTGCACAGTGGTGTTGATATGCGGGCGCATAGATACACGGTTTCATTATTCACCTTCTTCCAGTCGTGTTGACATGCGGGCACAGAGATACACGGTTTCATTATTCACCTTCTTCCAGTCGTGTTGACATGCGGGCACATAGATATAGTTTCTTTATTCACCTCCTTCCTGTGTTCGTTTAACTTGCATTGTCATCCAAAAATACCAATATTATGTAAAATTTTCATAATTTGTTTCTTACAGTATTCCAGAGAAAATAAGAAAAAAGTTTTAAACAACACAATTTACGCAGATTTGATTTATTTTTTGTCGCTGGCTTTACTTGATTAGGTTAATTATTTGCTTTGAATTTCGCGCAAAGATACTTTAGGGTTACCTCCGCTTCCCCACCGCAGCTGTTTGCCTAATTTTTACCACATTATAACGCCTGCATGGCCGAAAAGACAAGCATGTTCGGGGACGGACACTTGATCCCACGGCTCTCAGATTGTGTGTCGGGTGCCTTAACCCCCAGTCCATGCTAGGCCTTAACATAGCATTTTAATTTGTGTCAAGCCTATAAAGATAATGCAAATAAAAGAAATGATAAAAATTATCATTGCGAATTGTATGTAACTTAGACAACTCGAACGAGGTAAATATTAAAATTTCGAAATAAATGTCAGAAAATAATGGTTAAAAAGTACACGATAACTCGTATTAAGTCAAATTAATATTTATTGGTTAGAGAACTGTAAAAATAGGTCAGTGATATTTATACAAACGATATGAAGTTAGTCGTTTAGCTGCCAGACTCTGATATCCATCTAATTAATTTCTGTATGATACATTCAGGAAGAAAGCTTAGTATTTTCGTATGATAATTAGAGTGACTTGCCGTTAGAGGGAGTTTTAATATTGCTGTGAGTACAGATCAAGACACACAGTAGTGTGTTAGGCGGCCAAAAAAAAAAACGCACAACACCCAGTGTGTTATTAACAGGAATGGAAACTATGGGTTTTGAACTATACTTATAATTACCCTGATAATTAAAACTCTCCCATTTTTTTATATGGTAGGCTGTCCAGGTCTCCTTACATTACATACCAAATTTCAGAGACATCGCTTATTGGTTTACAGCAGGCCAAACTTTGCCTAAATTCATCTTCTTCTCCTTCTAGTTAATCGATTTGTTTCAAATATGGTACACAGCTGACATATATGTTCCCCTACCTTGACGGTAAAGTTGGTTACAGTAGTTCAAATATTCTCGGAGATATGGGCAAAAATAAGCAAACATTATTCTAAAATCTCGTAGATTTTTGCGCTCGTCTGGAGAAAAATTGGCTAACACGATCGCGCTAAAATTTGTATCACACATTAGGGTGTTCTTTAAAGTAGACCGTTTTTAATTTCATAAAAATCTAACGCGAAATCCGGAAGTTGTGAACCCAAAACCACCATCGTGCAAATATTTTCACACGATTTTTGCGTACTACTTTGCATCACACTTCAAACGAATAAAAACGCTTTCCGATACGTGATTGCCTTCGTTTCTGACATATAGTTAGCATATTTTATGATATAACTTTATCTACTATATAAAACCATACATGGAACGTGATATCTTTTGAAAAAAACTTGCCTGAAAAAAATATAGCCAAAATAAAGCAACTGAAAGATATGAACTCAAAGTTATTGAAGTAATGAAAAACCCACATGCAATTATAATGTTTCCAAATTTAATAGGTGCTTGATTCTAATTATTCCAAACTATACCTGGGTGTCAAATGTATACTCTTTGTGGTTAGTTTTACTTAATGCACATCAAAAAAGTGACATTTGATAAAAAAAAAAACAGTATTGCTGTAGAAAGAAAAAAAAAGAAAAAAAAAAGATTTGCGACAGAAATCAAAGTTTGCGGCCAAAAGGAGAAAATATTGACGATTAACATTTTATGCAAACTACTGTGACTAAACATTCAAAATTTCACAAAATTTGTACTACAAGAAATCACATGGACCAGCTGTTTTTCATCGGTGCGTAGCTAAACATAAAACAGCAGCCCATGTGATTTCTTGCAGTAGATATGCATACTTTACATATCTTGTAAAACTTTGAATGCTTGGGCAAAATAGTTTGCATAAAATGTTAATCGTCAATATTTTCTCATTTTGGACGCAAACTTTGATTTCACATTTTTCTGTCGCAATTCTTTTTTTCTTTTTTTTTTTTTGGACGCACCTTTTATTTTTGATTTTTTTACAGCTATGCTGTTTTTGATTAGATACCGTTTGTTGGAGATAGTGAACTTTTATTGATTGGAAGGATACAGAGGAAAATAATGAGCAGGGAGGTATAATGAAAACTTGGATATACTTTTGGAGCAAATAAAGAGCGTGGTAGGTATCAAAAATACTCTTATAGGAGACTTTACCCAAACTCGGTACTGCCTTTTATGGTAGGTATCAAAAATACTCTTATAGGAGACTTTACCCAAACTCGGTACTGCCTTTTATGATCTTCTTGGCTGTAATATATATATATATATATATATAAAGAGATGTAAGTGTCACATGGATAGGTCGGGAAATGAAACCATTTCCTGTAGTCGTGCTTTTAGAATAGTTTTCTCTGTGTGCTGTTGATATATAACGGTTCATTGAACTTCAGTTTTGATTGATGAAAACTTTTAAGACATTGATTTATTAATCACGCAATCAGTAGTTCTAATACCATAAATTACATCGATTGTATATCGGCGATCAAATCACCATTACGCAACAACAATGCAGTTAACACAAATCAAAAACGTTCACTTTGAGACAAAAAAAATCGAAGAAACTCACTCGTTATCAGTCCTTGTCATTACCCTTAACTTATAACTACAAAACTGGTAATGGATAAGTTTCCCGGCTTTTTTAAGTCTAATATTGAACGTTTTTGATTTGTATGTGTTGTGTGTGTGATATATTCTTTTTTTAATAAGCGGTTAACAATTTCCTCATTCTCGATCACGTGCTTAAATTCCATTCGTGTTGGAAGTTTTTACTTTTTTTCAGTGATATATGTTGCAAAAAACAACAACAAAAAACATTCAACGTCGTAAAGAAAGTAAAATACTATTTTTTCTAAATATATACGAAATACGAACTACATCGCAGTTTATTCGAACTTTTAAGTTAGTTGGTCTTTTGGGTTATTCAGTTAATTCTACGACATTTCTACATTTAAATTAAACTAGTATGTTAGTTAACTCAAGTCAATCAGTTAAGTACGATTAGAGATTCTGATTCTGTCATCATTTTTTTTTATAAATAAATTTTATTGGGAATCTTAGAACCGACTATTTTATGCCCGTGTTATCTAATTCTAAGTGGTTATTTTAACATTTTATGTTCTCTCCCCTACTTTCAGTTTGCTGTGGAACGGTGTTTCTCAGACATTGTTATTCATGGTTCACCCGATTTTTTTTTTAAACTTCTGTGGGCTCGATACCTTATGCTGCTGCCGCTTCCTTTTCACGAAGCACCCGAAGAGAGCGCGGGTACCGTCAGTGGTCCTTGAACTACAGATCAAGAACTACTGTTGTAGAAGAAGGACGGGTGAGGTGTGGGGGCTTAATTCTAAGAGCTTACGTGTGAAAGCAAAGAAGAACATGTTATAATATGTCAACCACACTACATCTGGCATATCCAGTGCCGACGAGGCCTTTCGCATATAACCAATTCTCATAAGACCAGCTGAAATATAACAGACATAGTAGTGATCTAGGTTCTATTTAGGTGTAGTGGTCTAGGTCCAAAGACTGTTATGGTGTGAGTTAGATTAAGTGAATTGTAATTAATTTCAATTATAATTAAGTGACTTACTAATAAGATTTTTAGAGTAAGAATTAGCAAAACAATATCATTTATTTTATTTTCATTTTTAACGTTAACAGAGGAGCCAGAAGTCCAGATATCGGAGAAATCACATGAAAATTTAAGGCATTTTACTCCTAAAATGGTGACAGGTGTGGTGTCTGACATTGTCAACAAGATACTATTTTTTTTTTTGGCCTTCTATTCGTGTAGTAACTCTTCATAGTTTTTTTTTTTAACCTATTGATCTGACTAAATACTATTCACGCCCAGACTGCGATGTCAGATAAAATACATCAATTTTGATTTTCCCCTCCCTTTTGCAAGCATTAATGTCTGTATGTATAAATAACCTTGTGGTTTATAACCTCACATCTTCCAATAAAGATAACATATCTATGTTCTATAGCACTTATAAAAAGTGATTTTTATAGCAGTTGTAATTCTTATTAAATCCCGTTTCAATTTTATTGATTGATTGCTAGATGAATGGGAAGATATTGTGTTAGGTGTTTATTGGTATCTATGTTATAAAAAGCACTATTTCTGTCTATTTTAGTTTTATTTTACATAACAATAGGAAGATTTTGTGTTGGTTATTTAGTGGTATCTATATTATAAAAAGCAATACTACTGCTTATTTTCCTGTTTTATCTTGCATAACAATAGGAATATATTGTGTTGGGTATTTAGTAGTATCTATATTATATAAAGCAATACTACTGCCTAGAGCCAATTTTTCAGTTTTATTTTACATAACACAAAAAAAGGAGACTGTAACAAATTTTTTAGTTTCGTTCCTTTGTAGGCCTAGCAGTATTTTGAATGAAACTGTCGTAAAACTATAAATCAAGTGATAAATATTGACTTCTGTACTAATAATAAAAAGGGTCGACTTTATGAAATAACGATATGACAAGTTTCATAAGCTATTGGAGTTAAAGATTGTATAAAGTTGATTTTTTTATGTATTTATTGAAGAACGCATAATAAAAAATTTTTTTGTATTGCAGTTATCTTGCTAGATACAACTTATGAGAGCGCACTTGATTGGACGAAATATCCTTATGGTCCCCAAGCAAGAACTCCCGGGGTAAGTTTCAATTTATTTTGTTAGTTTTTCTGTATCTCATAATTATGATTAATACATTATGTAACAATTGAGAACTTAGATTCTTTTTGATACAATTTACTGTGCTATCGAAAGGAAGTTTTCACTGATGCAAAAAGTCCTGTCAGTTATTTAAAACATACGTAAATAAACTTAAATGTGTTTAAGCATAATTAGTATAACTTTACCAGATAAACAATATTTCGTAGAATTAATTGTGACGCTGTTCTGTTAAATGTACTTTCTTTGAGGTGCAGTTTGGCTATTGCAACATTCTGTTTATGATATCTTTTAAAGCATACAACACCAAATATTGTTCAAGTTTTTGATCATTTCATGAGAATGAATTAATGAATCTATTAGAAGTTCAAAAAACAAAATTTCACACATCAAGTTTTCTGATGAAAAACAATCATTGCATATAATAAGGATAACGTAAATGTTCATTTATTTGTGATATCAAGTACATAACTTTTTGGCTTTTGTTCGTATGAAGTAATTATAATGTGAGAATAATTAATGATGTAGTTAATAAAAGAATCACGAGAACTAAAATAAGCACTTAAAGATGCGCATTTGAATTGTTTTTTCTTTGTTTTTGTTTTTTGTGAGGTTTTTTTTTCGAGGGATTTTATTAATATTCGAAAGCGTGATACTGTAGATGGCGCTTAAAAAGTAGTGACGTTAGATCTGTCAATAGGAGATAAAATCACGTTAGAATTAGTGTGCGTAATTTTATGTGAGCCACTGAAGATTAAAGAATCTTCGTCCACTACTCTTGTGTGCCCAATATAAACGACCGAATTTCACTTATGTGCAATAATTTTTGACCCAAATATCGTAGTTTCATTGTTTAGTGACTAGATTTGTATAGTTTCAGGCATTTATATATATATATAAGGTTTATTTTTTCAAGTGCAAAGCAGTTACTAGATGCAGTTTTCAACCATGGATGTACTGAATTTAATGTTGCTGTAAAGTGCTTGAGCTTGTGAGTAGTACCGGAAACAGTTGTGCAGTTTGCTTTATGAAAATATGGAACTTGTTGGCTGTACATACGTCTGCAAGTTATTTATGTTATCTCATTAAAAATATACCGCTTCTTCCCGTTATCACTAATTTAGTGCTGTATAGATTTATCCTGTCCTTGCTTTACTTAAACGATATTAGTTACAGCCTTCTAGTTATTTATGATGTATATTTACATTAATTTTTAAGGAGCGTTCGTAAAAATGTGCTATTTAAAGACATGGAGTTGCTTATTTTTTTTCGGTAATATTGCCATTTTATTCCAAAGTTAATATTGCTTGAACTAGCTTAAATTTCTGTTAAACGTCACAACAATGATAAAAGGCTATTATGCATATTACTCTTACATGAAGATGGACTCTTAAGGTATTTTATCTGTAAATAATTCGATTTCATAGTATTTTAAATAAAACTATATCCATTGTTACGGGGAGAGGTAGACGCACGACCTCGTGATCTTCAATATTGAATAATTATTCTTACGCACTATGACTAAATATGAGAACTTGCAATTTTGTAACAGCGATGATTAGTTAATACTGCGTCTATAAAGAGTTTATCTATAAACAAACATTTTCACATATCTATTAGTATAGGATTCGCTCTTTCTACTCCAAGTTATGGTTTGTTTTGTTTTGAATTTCGCGCAAAGCTACACGAGGGCTATCTGCTCTAGCAGTCCCTAATTTAGAAGTGAAAGACTAGAGGAAAGGCAGCTAGTCATCACCACCCACCGACAACTCTTGGGCTACTATTTAACCAACGAACAGTGGGATTGACCGTCACATTATAACGCCCCCACGGCTGAAAGAGGCTATGGAGATAGTCTATCTTAAGTTTTTCATTGTTGCAGCGTACGTACATCGATTTATGTTATCCTGTAATCGTTTTTATTCACAGAAGGTTTCAAATAAATCATCGATAAAAACATTGATGGCTTTTTTTAATGAGTCGAAAAATAATTGAAACACACACACACGCACAAATGTGCATGTGTGTGTGTTATATAATTGTCGTTAAACTTGACTTCATATAACAGTAATTTGCCTATTAATAATTTCCAATATCCGGTTACTCACATTTTTCTGATAGTTCTTGACAATCGTGTGAGTTATGTCGTTTAAAATGTATTTATTTCTCATTAAAACATAATCCTGTAAACAATGTGATAGTTTTTGTGTGAGCACAGTTTGTGTATGTTTTTTTTAATAACATAGTTTTATTTTTGAGGAATTTATGTATAATCCAAGTTTTTCCTTTCAGTTATTTTTTTATTAACTTTACGTTTGATCTGTAAGAATCGCTTCGTTCACTGCTGTGTATGAAGTTCTTAATAATTCGCAATATTTTTATTTGTAAACTGAAGAAATGCTGGATTTTTTTATTTGCATCTTCTGTTGTGGGTAGAAGGAAGTTTCCTAAACAGTAGAAGAAAT